TATATATATATATATATATATGTGTGTGTGTGTGTGTGTGTGTGTGTGAGAGAGAGAGAGAGAGAGAGACATTATCTTGATAAACAGTGTCTTAATTATCAAAAAATAAACCTAGATTTTTATATCTTGCATACAACTGTTTGTATTCGCAGTTAATTTTTTCGCTTTGCAAGATGCGTCTTGTTTAATACCTTTTTTCTTTATTATATAGTAATTCGCCGATCAACAAAGACCATAAAAAAGGCCCATCAGAATATGTAAATCATTTTTCTTTTTCATTTTTTTTTTTGCTATACTTTCGAATGGCTATAACATGATTCAATTTATCAAACACAAGACATACAAGCACGCAGAGGCAAAAAGAAGCAAAGAAAAAAGATTTTTTTTATCCTTCTCTTATTAAATTTTTATAGCGGTGTCGCCATTTTGCTGTTATGTGTTTCTGTATGTGATCGAAGCAGTTTGTTTTATTTGTACTAATAATACGGGGGTGCATATAAAAACGTTCTCGAGTATAAAGTAAAGAACCATTCAAAGAGTGAAAAAAGCTATTGAAAGTGTTATTTTTTCTGCATAAGCTCAAGATAATTATATACTTTTATAGAGACGTTATTTCCCGTCTTTCAATCTGTTTTGATTAAATGCAAAGACTTTCGAATGACATCATTTTTTTTATCTGCGATCAATGAGATGTACTGTCGAGATAGGCGAAGATAGTTACAGAAAAAAATCTGTGGTATCCGATGTTTTTTTGTCGCCTATATTATATTGACCTAACCCAACCGGCCTATTGTGGAATGTATTTGCATATCTTTGTTATTCTCTAGTCGTAGTGAGCAGCAAAGAACTTGTGCTTACTTGAACCTTACATTCATATATATATATATATATATATATATATATATATATATATATATATATATATATATATATATATATATTGTGTAATAAGAAAATAAAAAAATTAAAATCTTTAGAAACACTGGGTTGTAGATTAATATTCTTTCGTTTTTTTATTATTATTCCATTTAGATTCCTCGACTAGTTTCGACCGAAATGGCCATCATCGGGAGGAGAAATATTTCTGCTTGCTGGTAGCACTAAACTACAGAAATGAGTCTTTTGCTGGAGAAAATGAAATTTTGTCTGTAGTTTTCATTTGTTTTTTTATATTTTTATCTTTTTAACATGAATCTTTTAACATTCCTTGTGTTAGTCAAACAGTCTCTTTTAAGTTGTTATTTGAGATAAGAACTGGATAGATACATGTTACTCTGAATTCTCTGGTCAGTTTGACAGTTTTATTGGACCTGGTGAGGGATGTCTCTGTTTAGTGTTTGTGTGTGTGTTATTTGGTTCTTAGGGGTGAGTGAGTATGATATGTGTAAGCGTGTGTATTGCTGTAGGTGTGTGTTATCATTTGGCTCATTAGGGAGTGAGTGAGTATGATGTGTGTAAGTGTGTATATTCGTGTGGGTGAGTGTATAAGTGTGAGGCCTCCACACCTCCGTAAGCATGTCTGTCTTGTGTGGGTGAGAAATGTGGTTAGGTTTTGATTTGATATTGATATTTGATTTATTTATATATATATATATATATATATATATATATATATATATATATATATATATATATATATATATATATATATATATATATATATATATATATATATATATATATATATATATATATATATATATATATATATATATAAAAATAGATGAGGTAATTTTTATCCAACAGGTTAATATTCATTGTCAAGGTTTTGGTACGTTTCGGCCAGAGAAGCGGTTTTTGAAAAAAATAAATAAATACAAGTTCAATACTTATCAGACTATAACTCTTCTTTAGTAGAAATTTTCAACCTTAGCGATTCTTTATAAATTTGCCTTTTTCACAATCACAAGACCAGTAACCCATCATATATATATATATATATATATATATATATATATATATATATAATATAAAGGCTCAAACACTAATATTCTATGGTTTATAATTTATTACATTGGAATTGTAATCACAATCCAATTTATCAGACTTACAATTTCAACAAGAAATCGGAAAATATATCGGATTTTCAAATTTCTTTTTGAATTTGTAGGTCTGATGAATTGGATTGTGATTACGATTCCAATGTAATAAATTATAAACTAGAATCTTAGTGTTGAGCCTTTTATATTATATTTTTACTCTAGCCCAGACAATGAGTTCTACTCTTGGGAAATTATATATATATATATATATATATATATATATATATATATATATATATATATATATATATCAATATCATAAAATATGGCAGACAACGACGAACGCGTACGAAGGCTTCGAATAAGCAACACAAAAAATACAACTTAATCAGTCAAAACATAAAGAAAAACTAAGAATACTAATATTAAAACTCTCTTGAAAATGGTAAAAGAAATGGCTGAAAATGTTTTGGACAATGAGCATTATGGAAAATTTCTGTACACTCTTCCTTCTATAGAATGGAAAACGACGCTGTAAAAACTAAATAAAAAAAATAATGAAATCTTTCTTGCCCGCAGTATTTAATGAAAGATATTTAAAAAAGAATGGTTGCTGCCCAAGTATCCATTAATACACACACACACTCCACACACATACACACACACTCATATATATATATATATATATATATATATATATATATATATATATATATATGTATATATATATGTATGTATACATAAATACACACGCATACACACACATGTACATATATATATATATATATATATATATATATATATATATATATATAACAGATAGATAAAATGAGGATATAAATCAAATAACTAGATATTAACAACCATATATAAGTGCGTTAGCGTACATACACAGGTAAACGAATAAATATTTATTCAATTTAATATAACGTGTAAGCAAAACAGTGCTCAGTGTGGTTAGACAGAGCTAAGATATATATATATATATATATATATATATATATATATATATATATATATATATATATATATATATAACTGTATATTTTGGCAGCAATTCGTCATTTACCTAAGTTTCTTTAAAGACGACAGACAAGCTACTGCGATAAACCTTTAAGATGAAATGATCTGCAGGAATATCAATAATTCGAAGCATTTTCTTCTCTTAATCATTAGGAACCTATAATGGAAAATATGACATAGACGTTCAGTAAATAGCAAGCTATAGTCGGTCCTCTCGCCTTGAGTGGCAACCTGGCTACCAAACAAGAAATAGCTGCATCAGGCTATCTTACTCAGTAAACACTAGTGTAGCGACCCTATCGTTCTAATAGTTTAATGTTCCCGTGATTATGAAATTTATAAAAACCTGCCTAGACTGAGACGTACCACAAAAGAAAGATTGGATTTCTTTTGCAAAAATCGCTTCTATAGCCAAAACATGGCGCTGCAATTTTGGACACACACACACACACACACACACACACACACACACACACACACACACACACACACACACACACACACACACACACACATATATATATATATATATATATATATATATATATATATATATATATATATATGTGTGTGTGTGTGCGTTTTCCCTTTAGTGTGTAAATGAAACTTGTATGTCTTAGCGAGGACTGTGTTTTTTTTCGGACTTTATAGTCTGGCCCTATATAATCACAAAAGATCAGTAACAAATAATGGAAACCACATCATTTGTGGACTTACAACAGCAGCAACAGCTAAATTGGATATCGCTTGTAACTCGAAGGCATAATCAACATGTTGACGTTCCACATCACATTCAATAAAAGTCAAAGTTAAGAAGCCCGCCACCCATCTATACTGGAAAGAACGATAACAGCTACTTGACTTGGGAAACCCATTTCCCTGAAAAAAAAAAAAACGTTTTACGAGAAATATTTTATCAATTTCAACCAACAGACGTACAAACTCCTCAGTCAATGAATAACGAATATTTCCTTATAAGGAAGCGGCTAATATTAACATTACCATAGTGAGTTTTAATGGAAATGGAAACAAAGAGGATATATGCTTATTATCGAATGAGGCAGATTAAAGATTTGAGATTTATAACGAAGAAAGAATGTTTGGAAAATTTGACAATCGCATAATATATTTAAGGCAAGAAGAGGTGATAGAGACAACAGGAAATCTGATTAACTAACTGCTTGAAATGGGTGTCAGAACAGAGTGAAGGAAGTTAGTAAATCAAATATTTTAAACGCTACAAAATATGCAAGATTAGTGACAGGCGCCTAATCGCTCCCGACCTGAAGAGGCACATTATATTAAAAGAAAAGGCTTTAGAAGAAGTATTTTCTACAAGTATTTTGTTGATGGAGCCTGGCAGGTTTCTGTGTGTGCTTATATTAATCCTGATTAAGTTATGTTCAGAGAAGTGTAACGGTATTTGTTTTCATTCAAGCAACTGTTAATGATAGAACTTGGACAAAAATCAAGTGATCAACGTTTATTTAGAGATACTTAATAAAAATTACATCGTTCAGATCATAATAGTATTACTGAGATTTACTTATACCAATGTTCACCCAGTACAAGGCTCAAGAGCTACTCAAGGTAGAACCTTACTATGTGATATCTGGAGGTTTGGTAACGGGCTTGCCAGCGATCGTCAACAGATAATTCTGCCATGGATATGCAAATATTACGAGTAATAAATAATAATAAAACTTATTTGGGCAATGCACAAAGGCCCATTATTTCTGCTTCCTGACGTCTAACCGTTTCTATAGAAGATGATATAAAACTGCCAATCATTTCTGTTCCTCGACGGTCTGCCGTGTTTACAATTTCTATGTCACGTGGGACACTCGGAAGGCGAAGAAAAGGAGTCAATATTTTGTGAGGAGTTGAAATTCCACATTTCAAACATTGGTAACGATTGGCAAACACTCACAGAGAATCTTTGGAACAAAAGCTATGAATAATGCAATCTGTGTACCTACAACCTACAAATTAATTTCATGACAGCTGCGAGAAGCGAATGTGACGACAGGACAGAGGCAGATGGATTGATAAAGCCTCTCCATTCTCAAATCTTATAAAAAAAATGACCGCGTGACAACAAGAGAGAAAGTCGAGGACATTGAGAAAGAGTAAGAATAAGAGAATGATAGGGAAAGAGAGAGAAAACAAGGAAAGGAAATAAAGAGAAGAATGAAAGAAAAAGATTACAAAGGAAAGAGAGCAAGCGAAAAAAAGGGAGAAAGAAAGGAAAGAAAATATAGAGAAAAAAGAAAGAAGAGAAAAGAAGAGAAAGACGGAAAGAAAAGAAAAAGAGAATAAAGGAGAAAAAAGAAATGAATAGAGAATGTGTAAATTTGAAAAAAAAAGGACTTGAAATGTTGGGAATAAAAAGAAACAAAGAAAAGGTGAGTAGAGAAGAGAAAAGGAGAAAGTGAAATTAAGAGAAAAAAAAAAGTGAAAAAGAGAAAAACCTGAAATAAAGATATAGATAGATAGGAACAGACCGTAATAGATAGATAGATAGATAGATAGATAGATAGATAAGAACAGACCGTAATAGATAGATAGATAGATAGATAGATAGATAGGAACAGACCGTAATAGATAGATAGATAGATAGATAGATAGATAGATAGATAGGAACAGACCGTAATAGATAGATAGATAGATAGATAGGAACAGACCGTAATAGATAGACAGATAGATAGATAGATAGATAGGAACAAACCGTAATAGATAGATAGATAGATAGATAGATAGATAGATAGATAGATATAAATACATAGTTTGATAGATAGATAGATAATTATCAAATTTAAAAAATAGATAGAACAATTTGTGATAAATACATATATAATTAGCAAACATAGACCAGATTGAGATAGATAATTAGAAAACTTAAACAGATTGATAGGTAGAATATATATATATATATATATATATATATATATATATATATATATATATATTAATTAGCAAACATTGATAGACCAGATTGATATAGATAATTAGCAAAATTAGATGGATAGATAGATAGGAACAGACCGTAATAGATAGATAGATAGATAGATAGATAGATAGATAGATAGATAGATATCAAATTTAAAAAAATAGATAGAACAATTTGTGATAAATACATATATAATTAGCAAACATAGACCAGATTGAGATAGATAATTAGAAAACTTAAACAGATTGATAGGTAGAATAGATTAAGATATATATATATATATATATATATATATATATAATTAGCAAACATTGATAGACCAGATTGATATAGATAATTAGCAAAATTAGATAGATTGATATGTAGAGCAGATTGAGATAATTAGCAAACATAGATAAATAGAGAGAACAAATTGTGAAAAATATATGATAGATAATTAGCAAATAGATAGATAGATAATTAGCAAACGTAGATGAATAGATAAAACAAATTGCGATAGATAAATATATGATTAGCAAAGATAGATAGATAGATAGATAGATAGATAGATAGATAGATAGATAGATAGATAGATATGAAAAGAATGAGATAGATCCACCGATTGATAATGTGAACAGATTGAGCGATCCTTACATTCATACATAAATAGAGCGATAGAGGAAAAGAAATAAAGATGTAAAAAGAGCGGGAAAAAACAATGATAATGAAGATCGTGAGATAGATTAAAACAGAAAAGAGAAAGGTAAGAGAAAAAAGAGAGAGTAAAACAGAGAGGGAGAGGGAGAGGAGAGAAAATCAAAGAGACTAAATCAAGAGTCAAGTATTAAATATTCATGTGTTGCGTCTTCAAAAAAATAAATAAAGAAAAATAAAAAAATAAATAAATAAAAAAATAGACACACTATATAAATCCAGCGCTTCATACTCTAATTATTTTTATATCGCTTTCTCTAGAAATACCATAATCTCAGGCTTTGCGCTTTTTAATTTCTATCTAAAAGTTGAAAATGTGTTCAAAAAAGATAAATTGAGAGCTAAGTTTCTAATATTTAATGAAGTCATTTACATATCGCTTACTTAATTCTGAATAATTTATTAACATTATTGTCTCTAAATTTCATTTGGTAAAAAAAGAAAAATTAAATTAAAATATGCATTTTTATCGTAATTCATAATTTATTTTAAGATGTCTGCGATTTTTAATCTGGTTTAAAAATATTTGTTGAGATATCCATTTGAAATATAGAAAATCATGTGAATTTAAAGTTTTTGTTTTTTTATTTAGAGAGAAAATCGAATTATTCATTAGTAAATAATTCCATTGAATAACAGAAATAATGATTACACCTACATCTGAGACATGTTGATTAAATGATGTCTCTATTTCTCCGACTATTCACGATATATATATATATATATATATATATATATATATATTATTATTATTATTATTATTATTATTATTATTATTATTTAAAAATATGTCTCCATCGCGGCAAAGAAATTACTATATTTCGTAAACGAAGCTCAAATCTTAAAATTTAACCTTAAAATTCGGGGAACGGTTCCATTTTCAAGGGATGCTAAAATAACTTACGAAAAAATTGGATTTACTTTATTTTTAAGTTAATTTGGTGGTGTTAAGCGAATCCCCATTTTTTTTTATTAAGGAGGTGTTGGTTTTTCTTGGAATATAGAAAGCCAGTGAATCTTTGTGTGGCAAATTTAAAGTCGGTTAAGGTTGGGCGAGGGTTATGATTTCTGTGTAGCTACCTTGACTTTCTTTCAAGCTGTCAAGTAATTATTGTCTGATTTATTTTACCTTATTAAGGTTTACGCTACAATATATTTGGTATTTACTTATTTTCTTTTTAAAACTACATCGAGATTTTCATAAAGGAGTATTCAAATATGATTAAGCCAATTTTGTACTTTTTATATACACATATCTAAAATACTATATATTTATTTAATTTATTTATGAACAATACCTGGTACTGTAAGAATAATTTATTAGAATTTAATGACGCATTTATAAATTATTTAATTTATGATCAAATAATAGATATAAATATGTAAATTATTTTTTTATAATTAATTATTTTTTAAGGAGTATATCAGACAATGTCTACAGAAAACTGCTATTTCATTTCTTTGATTTAATAAATTTTATTTTTCAGAAACTTAATAACATATAACTTTTCATGTAGGCATAAAGGACATGGGTCATCCAAAGAGATACAAGTTCTTGTTTATATATATATATATATATATATATATATATATGTATGAATATCAGTGTATAAGACTTCTTCAACTTTACTCCTTGAGGCCGTAGCCCAACATATTATATCATTTTGGAATCAGGCCGACGCCGTGAGGAAATTAAAACATCCCGGGGCGGATCCAGACCCGCAATCCTGAAATTTTAGTATCCAAAGTTTTCATTACTGCGATTGTTTTCGGCGATTTTTTTATGTGATTTTTTATATTTAATACGCACACACTACACTCCCCACACACCCCACACATATATCCTCTCTCTCTCTCTCTCTCTCTCTATATATATATATATATATATATATATATATATATATATATATATAAATACAAATATTATATTTGTCAATTATTCATGTTATATTCACAACCTCATCTTCAGAGTTTCGTAGACCAAAGTTTTTGCAGTCGTTCGGTCCACTCGTCAGGAGGTATCTGCAGTTGTTTGCCGATTTTCTCATTTTCGTCATTTTTATATCAAGTTAAAAAATAATTTATGCACTTTTTATTGGTCTTAGCTTATTTCTTCTTCTTCTTTGTGCGCGGGTGTATTGTGTGTGTACGCCTGTACGTGTGTGTATATGTATATGTGTAAAATGTCATGGTCATTTCTACTTTTCATAATTTTTTTGTCACCTAATACTATCTCATTATTACTTTTCCTTTTTTTTTATCTCTCTTTCGGCACCGTGTGTTAAAGATAATATAACAATCTTATTTTCGGTATCATAGACAGTCCTCTACATGCACGCTCTCTCTCTCTCTCTCACACACACACACACACACACACACACACACACACACATATATATATATATATATATATATATATATATATATATATATATAGGTTACTCTGTGTCTACTTCACTAAATCTGAACGTTGGATCTCGCTTTACATTATGTTCGACGCTGACATGTATAGAATGTCAATGTATCAAGAAATGAATCTATAACCCACCTCCCTCCACACTCTGACCTTATTTTTCATTTTTCTGTTTTAGAATTTCAGACATTAGGCTTCCCACTTTATAAATTTCAAAAGAGGTAACGATTTGTTTTCAAATTTCACTAATAAATCATTTGTATTGTGTTATCTACCATCTATAATTTTTTTTATTGTAATCTATTATAATAAAAATATTTTAATAATGTTATATATAAAAATGTAATTTTCTTTGGCGTTTTTATTTGTTTTTTTCTTCTTTTTCATTTTATCCCCTTTTTCTTTTTCTTTTTACTTTTATTTTCCTTTTTGAATTTTTCTTTTTCTATTTTTTCCTTTTCTCCTTTTAGTTTTTCTTTCTGTTTTTCTTTTCTTCATTTTCTTTTTCTATTCCCTGTATATAATTCTTATATTTATATATATATATATATATATATATATATATATATATATATATATATATATATATTATATATATTATATATAAGGATTAGGATGCGAATGTGTTTGTCATCTGTTCCTCTTTGCTTAAAATTTGTAGCGTGCATTGATACTTTTCACGTCAGCATCGAATTTATCGGAAAAATCTTATCTAATAAATTTAATAATAAAAAAATAATTATATATATATATATATATATATATATATATATATATATATATATATATTTCTTTTTTTTCTCCGTGCCATTTTTGAAAAATTTTGTAATATTTTAAACCCAATGCTCGGTTTAATTTAGAATTTGTAATTTTTAATTTTACTGTGAAATTAAAAATTAATTATTTCATGTTGATTTCTGGTTTTATCTAGCAATAACTTTAATCAACTAACGGTTCATATTTAGAATATACCTTCATGCTTTTTGAATTGTCTCATACTTGTATTCTGATTGGTCGTCATTGGTTACGTAACAAGGTTTCGCTATTGAGGTGGTTTGATTTGGGTTTGAATTTTCAAAAAAAAAACTTTTTATTTCGCAATCAACACTATCACTTGATAAGACACCAGATGTCTTGGAACAAAATGGCGGTTTTTGCAGTGATATTATAACAGATTTATGTTAGAATTTTTGAATAAATATAATATTATATATCCCGGCTTGAAGCAATCGGATATATAGCTGCACTGATGGGCTGTGATACAGCAAAACAGGCCTGTATGTGGATAACATTATTATGCTCTCGATAGTTTCGATTGAGCACTGTTGAGAGAGAGAGAGAGAGAGAGAGAGAGAGAGAAATTCTAAACAGCATTTGTCTCCACTAACGCAAAGCTCTTCATTAAAATGAATTGAGCTCTATGGCTGTCTGGCATTTATTAACATTCGTAAAAATAATACGCTAGAATTTCCCTTTTCATTTGCCGTGCGCTGATAACTCAGGGGTAGGAGCTGCTCCGACTGATGCCAAATCGGTTAGGTTTTGATCACAGCTTGCAGCAATCGGATGTCTAGCCGCACTGATAAGCTGTGATACTGCGAAATAGGCCTGTATGCAGATGACATTATATATATATATATATATATATATATATATATATATGTATATATGTGTGTGTGTGTGTGTATGTTTATGCATAGATGTTTCTCTTGCAATACTTCTATATTT